GTAGGGGCAGGATCATGGCAGCCAAAAAACTAATGCTCCTTCTGTCTGAAGGAGAGGAGGATGAGCCTCCCCTGGTGGCCCCAGGATCAAATAGCAGGCTATCATCAGTGGAACAATGTTTATGCCCCAAACTCTGGACTCACTTCCTTCTGGGTTCTGGCAACCCTTGGACATGTCCTCCATGTTCCTACAGATACTTTGGAGACACAGATTTACCTTGGGGAGGTGATATATGTGTGGATGTGTTGGATGAACACTGGATGAACTCTGTCTTCAATGTCTTTCTGGTAGCATAGAAGAAACTCCAGCCTGGAGTCTAGAGAGTTCAGGTGTAGTGCTAGTTCAGCTACTAATTTACTATGTCACTCTGGGAAATTAATTTATTTCCTGTCTTGGTCTCATTTTCTCTCTATATATAATGGGTTGAGCCTAGTCTTAAGGCCTCTCCCAACCATAGTGGCCCACAGGTATTTATTTCTTTTCTGGCCCCCACTCACTTCCCAAAGGCCTTTTCTCAGCCTAGAATCTTCTGAGGGATTTCCCAAGTCAACCCTGCACACATGAGACAAGAGCAGAATCAACAGGTACAAGAGCCTCTAGCCAAGACATTAACAGAGCCCACACATGTCCTGTGTCTACCATTTATTGTTGATTCTGTATACCAAACCTGTTACAAGCAGCATCCAGCAAAAGACAGGCCCCCACTCCTGCCCACCAGGGCTCACACTCTATGAAACCCTGTGGGCCTAGAAATCTCTAAATGCATCACCAAGCACCTGGAAATATTTGCAATGATTCTCTAAGTGAGGCAAACATCATCTACTTTTAAAGGCAGCATGAAGGCAACGTGCTGGTGAGAACAATCTCTCCTTAGGAGAAGAAACTTGGAACTGGGAAGAGTTTCACTTGGAAGTGGTCTGCCACCTGCCGTCTCTGAATCATAAAGATGCTTCCTTCCCAAGACCACCAATGCCTTCCCCAAATCCCTGGATATGGTTCTGACCATGAGTTCTGTGGGCTGGATTCTTTGAGTGGTTTACAGCTAAAGGCTAGGATGCATCTAATGCCCATTGAGTGACTCTAGTTGCTAGCTGCTCTCCACAAGTTTCCTGAGTTTGGAAGTAGATTCCTGGCACTGCTCTGTATTGACATTGAAAGGCTGTGAAAAGTGTGTGGCTGTCCCTGAAAAAGGACCAAGGACATTTCTGAGAACTTTACTGTGCTTCTAAGTTCTAAGGAGACAGAAATATACATACTCAGTCCCAACCATTTCCACGAGATTGGCCAGTTTTTCTTTAATGGATGATGACCTTAATTTTTTCTTTTATTTATGAAATTTTGCATACATGCAGTATCAAGTGAGGTTTCAATGACTAAGATATGGGGAGCAACAGGAATGTGACTCCCATTGTCTTTGGTTTAATGATGAGAGCCCAAGATGGGCCATAAGGCTTTGTTCAAAGTTTGAAAAAAGTAAAAGCCACAGCCTATGGAATAATGTTGCAGAAGAGCCAACAGTTTTGTACCCTATCACAAGAAGATAACAACTGTACCCATATCACATGGTTGTTCTGAGGGCTAAGAAGAATACATGGCAAAGGTTTTAAAGGGTACCAATGCACAGTAATCACTTGAAAAAAAAAAAAAAAAAGAAAGAAAGAAAGAAAAAGAAAAACACCAGTCGTTCTAATTGGCTTTTACCATCTTTTCTCCAACATTGACCCCACTCCAGATGGAGGCTGGTGACAGGCAAGGTAGCCTAGAAGCCAGTTAGCAAGGGAGGGAGAAATGAATGGAACTCTGCATCCTCCCCCAAATCTTTTAATGGACATCAAATGCAAATGCATCATCCCTGTTGGAAAGGAGATTCCACCCAGACTCTCTGGCAACTCCATTGCCAGACAACATGGTTGGCTCCATCCAGACTACTCTGATGGGAGAAAAGAACAAGTAATCTCAGGTCTGATAAGGGTTCACCACATCTCACCTGAAGGTGCTCTTGAATGGGCTCATGTGAAGATATCTGCCCTCATGCAGTCTTTAATCAGGGGATATACATTGATATCCTGGGCTGGAAAGGAAGGTACTTCAATGCCATGGTCAATGCTAGAAATATTTAGGGCTTCTGGCCTAAGATGGGCAGGGCACACTTGGTGAAGGGGATTACTTTCTCCCCTTTCTGCCATTCCTGGACCACTTGTGCCCTTGCTGGGTAAGATGTTGGGGCACACTCACAAGGAAGTCTTGAGTATGAGGAATATGGGACCAAATCATGCCTCTTGCATGAAGGAGAGGAGGCCAAGCTTGCCTTTGTGGCCCCAGGAAAAATAAAGCAGGTCACTGGAATGATGCTCATGCCTCAACCTCAGGGCACAGTTCCCTTGGGGCCCTGGCAAGCCTTGGTATGGTACATGTCCACTGTGTTGCTACATATATTTTGAGGACACTTTGGAGACCCAGATTTATCTTGGGGAGGTGATGTGCTTTGGCTGTGACAGCTCTCATCTCTCCCAGATTCCCTGGAACAGAGAGTGAAAAGATGCAAAGGACACTGGTTCTTACACACATCATTTTCCTGCATCCTTTTTTTTTTTTTTTTTTTGCTCTCCTTTTTGAAGGGGAAAGCTGGTCATTCTGTCAGCATCACACCACTCAGGCCCCTGAGGGTTTCTTATTTGTCATGTGAGGTGGAGGGAACTAATAAGAGCCCATCAGGGTTGGTGGTAGATTTCTAAATCCCTGTTAAGTCAGCTGGAGCTCTTCCCTGGCAGACATGGAGATCTGCAAAATTCTCTGTTTCGTGTCTGTTTTCACTTCTAACCTAATGGATGAGTTTGTTGAGAGAAAGACATATGTTGCCAAGAATATAATTTCCTTAACAGTGTTATGAATGTGAGTATGGCAGGAAGGGAGGCAAAGACAGGTATTCATGTGACTGTAACTCAACCAGTGACTGGAGGAGAGCAACCCTGAACTAAGGAGTCCTTGGGTGATGCAAACAATTACCATGCTTAGCTAGTAACCATCCAGAGGTGCCTCAGAAGAAAGGCCTGGTTAATGTCTGAAAAAATCAACCATTGAAAACCCTATGGAGGACAGTTGAATCCACAGATTGGTTTTTAACCTTGGAGAAAACAACTCAACTCTTGTAAACAGACCACAGGCAGGAGGTACTTGAGAACTCCCAGACCCAGTGTGACCCAGGTGTGTATCCTGATGTTGCCTCCTGTGTGTGAACATTCTGAAGCTCAGCTGCTAGTTTACTGTAAGGCTGGTGGAGAATCTGACCTCAACATTGGAGGGATTGCTGGGTTCCATTACACTTGGCTGTTCAATTAAAGGATCTCATCTCTGAGCTATTTTGCTTCCCAAAAATGGAGAATGAAAATTAAAAACAGATATAGGCATATTATGCCCATAAAAGGTCTGGATAGAGGGGATTCCAATGAGCAGCAGACAGCTTGTTGGCAGGGAAGGATCAGTGGCTGCATGGGTGTCTGTACTCAGGAAGCTTCTGACCTAGTCGCTGAAGTTAATAAAATCTTTTCTCCAAGCCAGGAGTCCCTGGGTGGTTGTCTCTGGGTTAACATGCTTGGCTGCTAACAAAAAGGTTGGAGGTTCAAGTCCATCCAGAACCATCTTGAGACAAAGGCCCTGGCAATGTACTTCTGAACAATCAGCCATTGAAACTGCATGGAGTGCTGTTCCCCTCTGACACATACAGGGTCACCATAAGTCAGGGTCAACTAGATGGCAACTAGATGTTTTTCTCTGTCCAGGTCAGGGTGTATCCACATCTTTCCCTGTCTCTCTTGCAGCCGGGCCATTCCAAGGACTGGCGATGGAGATAGTGAGGGGCCAGCCCTGGCTCATTGGGATCCAGTTCTCAGAGAAGTCCATGCCATCTCTGGAATCCCCAGTCCTCTTGGATGAAAGCCCCCAGGATGGGGATATTGGTGCTACTCTATTTCTTGATCTGAATGCCAATTTTATGGATCTGTCCAGTTTGTGAAAATTCATAAAGCTGCACACTCTCATGTTCTCACTTTTCTGTATGTATGTTATATGTCCATGAGAATTAAAAAAAAAAAGAAAAGAAAAGAAAAGAAAGAAAGCCCTAGGAGTGAAAATAAGGCTTCCCAGTTACTAGGTTACTTTCTCTATCCAGTACCAATAAGCTGATTTAAATATTTTCAGAGGTCAGAAATTTTACACATTCCTTAAAGGGCTTAAATTTTCAAAGAAAAGTTGCAGTTCAGAAATATCATTTCCTAAAAGGCTGAGTTGGTGGCACTGGTGCCTTTCTTTTTCTTCCAGATAAAAATCACAAGAGGGATGCTGGTGGTGGCTCTTCACCAGGAACTGAGAGGCATCACTTTCCCTTCTCTCTTCCATGGCATCCTGAAAGAAGCCAACTAAAGGGTTTGAAGCCTTCTTGAGGAGAGAACTCACTCTATTTGCCTTCAGGAGCAGAAAATCACAGGGAAGACCCTTCATTTGAGGAGACAGAGAAGAGCCATGGCACAAAAGAGAGGAGCAAGAGAAGGCAAATCAACTTACATAATACTTTGAGGAAAGGGGCTGTCCCCAACAGAGAACTATTCCCACAGAGTGAGCAGGCTTTGTTAAGAGTTGAGTCTACAAAGGCCAGGAGGAGGCATGGGCCTAGGGAAGGCCGTTCTTGGGGTAGGGGTGGTGAGGATTTGGAGCAGGGGCCTTCTTGAAGGAAGCTCACCGATGTGAGCTGGAAAGGACCCTGGGTTTTTCCTTGTCCAGGTGGATTTCTTTGGTGGTAAGAAAGTCCTCCAAGACCTGCTTCTCTACAGGAGAATCAGGCAGATCAGGAAGAGGTGGGGGCACCTTCCTTTCAGGCCCAGAGAGAAGGATCAGAAATGGCTTTAGGGACCTAGAAGAAGAGGCAGAATGATGGAATGCCCACCTGCCTTATTTCCAGGATCCTCAGCTCCACTATTCCCCAGCCCTGGCTCCAGGTGGCCTTGTTAACACTCGTTGGGTGCCTTCATTTGCATCAGAACTGTGTGGCCCCTCTTCTTGCAGCAGCAACAGAAGATGCAGGCGGCCACAGAGGAGGCAAAGGCAATGATACCAATGACAATGGCAGCAATGGCCAGCCCACTCTGGGCACGGGTCATGCCCCCCTTGCTGCGGTCATCGGTGGCCTCAATGGTGGTCAGATCAGTATAGTCCTCCATGGGGCTGGTATACTCAGTGGTATAGGAGACGGATGTGGTGTCAGGGTAGCTGGAAGTGTCTGGGTTCTGTGGTGTTTCCGGATTCTGTGGTGTTTCTGGGTACCGTGGCGTTTCTGGGTAGCTAGGTACTTCAGGGACTTGAACACTGGGAGCAGCAGCATTGATGTTAATGATGACAAGGGACTGGCCTCGGACATTGGCTGGGCTGAAACACACTGGGAGGGTATCCGTCCCCAGCCTGAGCCTGTTGAGCTGGAGCCAATTGCGGAGTGGAAGGATACCTGAATCACATCTCCAGGGGTTATCATAGAGCCGAAGCTCACACAGGTTTCCCAAGTGATCAAAGATGCCCATAGGCAGGTTCTCCAGCTGATTGTTCTGCAGTTGGATGGTCATTAGGCCATTGACGTTGGCAAAGACATTCCCAGGGAGCTGTCTGAGGCGGTTGTTCTGTAAGGAGATATTCTGCAGGTTGGCTAACATGCGGAAGACATTCCCGTCCAACTCCTGCAATGCATTGGTGTGAAGTGATAGCTCTCGCAGCTCTCTCAACCCATTGAAGGCCCCTGGGGAGATGTAGCTGATCTGGTTGCGGCTTAAGACCAGGACTTGTAACTGGCTGAGGCTGCTAAAGATATTATCAGGTAGGGAAGTGATGTGGTTGTCATAGAGCCAGAGTTCCCGCAGGTTGTGCATGGGCCCAAAGATCCCTGGGGAGAGCTCCTTCAGGTTATTCCCAAACAGCGTAAGACGGTTGAGTTGGGGCAGCTGCATGAAGATGCCGGCAGGCAGTTGGGAGATATGGTTGTTGGACAAATAGAGTTTCTGGAGATTACGGTTGTTGTGGAAGAGGCCTGGCGAAAGTACACCAATCTGGTTCTGCTGGAGGGCCAGTTCCTGGAGGTTGCCAAGTCCATCAAAAGTGCCCATGGGGATATCCGAGAGCCTGTTTTCAAACAGCCGGAGGACCTCGAGATTGCCCAGGTGCTGGAAGACTCTAGGTGAAAGGTGGGTGAGGCTATTCTTGCCCAGATTGAGCTTGGTAAGACCCACTAAGTGGTCAAAGACACCATCAGGAATGTATTCCAGGTGGTTGCCATGCAACTGCAATTCCTTGAGGTTGCTGAACTGGGAGAAGTGTGCCGGCTGGATCTGTACCAGCTGGTTGCTGGACAGAAGGAGCGACTCAAGGTTGTCCAGGCCCTGGAAGAGGCCGATGGGTAGAATCTGAAGCTTGTTGTTGGCAAGACTGAGGTAGCGCAGTGAACCCAAGTTGCGGAAGGCTCCAGGCATGATGTGAGACAGCTCATTCTTCTCAATCCTCAGGGCGATGAGGGCTGAGATGTTGAGGAATGGTGACTCGCTGAGTTCAGTGATGTGTGTGTTGAGGATCTGCAGGCTCACGGCATTCCAGGGCAGAGGGGTGGGCACAGCCATGATGCGTGCCCCAATGCATTCCACCTGGGAGGCCCTGGAGCAGGTGCATTCACTAGGGCAGCCATAGTAGGCCAGGCCTGCACTCCAGGCTTGGCAGCCCACCAGCAAAAGGAGGTAATGTTTCAGTGGCATGGCCTCTGCAAGGGAAGAGAGTACACATAAGTCAGAGTCATCTCACCTACTGCTGTTGCTTTTAAGCCGACGCCAACCTTTAATGCCAAACACTGGCTTGCTTTGAACACCATTACTACATACCCAGCTTATGCTCCCAATATTCTGGCCAGCATGCCTCCTGGATCTTCCCTCGGGCCTTCCCACTCCATGTTTTTGCTTGAGCATTTCGCTTGTCCTAGAGTGCTCTTTTTCCTCATCCACGTCTTTCCCATACTTCAAAGTCTAGTTCAAATGCAATCATCTCTATAAAGCTTTCTTAGATTCCATGAGTCAGGATGAATTACCTACCCACACAGGTGGTCCTCCCGACCTCTACCCCTTTCCATGATGCAGCTGGCCTATATGGTCTTCATGGGGTTCTTGTCTGCCTCATTCACTATTCAATAAGCCTTTCAAGGAGAGGGATATTCATCTTTCATTCCTATAAATTCCTTAAGGCAGAAACAGTGTCTTATTCATCTCTATCCCTCACAGTTTCTAAACATGTTGATTGGGAGAAACTGAGAAAAAATAAATAGGCCTGAACTCGGGGAAGATGCTAAGGCCACAGATATGGTGGCCTGCCAGGAGAAGGAACAGCCAACAGAAGGAGGACCACACTGCTGATCTGGGGGAAAGACCACAGGGAAGCTCAGCTTTCCCTCTCTTTATCCTCAGCCTGCCCTGCCCAACCTCACCCCATCACCACCAACAACAACCCATCTCTTTCTTAACCCTTTCACATGTGCTTCATCTAGGTTTAATTCAAACAGCCTCCCCAATAAAAAGAAATTATCTGTCTATACCATTTCCTGTCTCACTGGGAGTGGCTGCTGTGGTTCAGCTGGTGCCTAAGGCCTGACTTCTGGTACTGGCCCTAGTTCCCACAAAGAAACATTGGGTGGGCTTGAATAAGTCCCAGCAATCTTAGGATGTGCAGCAGGTCCAGATGTTCCCTCAGAAACAAGAGCCAAATTCATGAAAGTATTGGCATTTGAGATCACTGATGATGATGATGATGATGATAATTACACACACACACACATACACACACCAAACCAAAAAAACCAAATTCACTGCCACCGAGTTGATTCCAACTCATAGCAACCCCCTTAGGTTTCCAACGCAGTAAATCTTTACAGAAGCAGACTGCTTCATCTTCTGTGGAGCAGCTGGTGAGTCTGAACTGCCAACCTTCTGGTTAATAGTCAAATGCCTTAGGCACTGTGCCACCAGACACGAATATAATGTGCAGACATGAGTACTTGAATATTTAGGTACCCGGGTGGTGCAAATAGTTTGCAGTCAACTACTATCCGAAAATTGGCAGTTTGAACTCACACAGCAGTACTGAGGAAGAAAGTCCTGGTCATCTGCTTCCATAAAGACCATAGCCAAAAAAAAAAAAAAAAAAAAACTCTATGGAGTAACTCTACTCTGTACACATACAGTTGTCATGAAGCTGAATTGACTCAATGACAATGGGTTTGCTTTTTTTTTTTTAAACTAGCTATTTGAGCTTGAATAAGTCACTTGAGGCCTCCAAGATTCAGCCTTCTTACCTGCCCTCTTGAGGGACTGTTGTGAGAAGCAAATGAGAGAATGGATGTAAGGGCATACTGTACAGTGCTGTGCAAATGTTCATAGTGGGTATTACAAGCTCATCCATAATATAGACTTTTTAAAACTCTTGGAGGCAGGAAGACCTCAAAGTGCTTGTTGTCTTGGCATTCTTAATCAAGAAATCCTCTTAATCCATATGGAAACAATTAGCCCAAGAGACTAATGGACCTTGAGAACCTCAATGTACACAACCCTGAGACCAGAAGAACTAGATGGTGCCTGGATACCAGTGCCAGCCACTTGGAAAGGTATCAAAATTGGACATCCTGGATAGAGTGGGAGAAAAAATGTGGAACAAAATTCAAAAACACAAAAATGACCAAAATTACTGGTCAGATAGAGACTGGTGAAACTCCAGAGACTATGGCCTCAGGTTAACCTTCAGGCCTGGATTTGGATTCACTCCCATGGGTTAGCTCCTGTGAGCTGAACACCTACACCAAGGAGACCCACTCCTTAGAATAGTCAACTGTGAGAGATTGGGAGGGCAGCATTTGTGTAAGGAGAAAGCTAGACATATAGGAATGCATAGGTAAGAAGGACACAGGGAAGTGATAACCACAAGGAGGAGATGGGAAGAGAGCTGTTACATTGTGGGAATTGTAATCAGTATTATGAAACAAAATGTGTATGAACTGTTGAGTGTAAAAAGAATCTGCTTTGTAAAACTTTTAAACTCAAATCACAATAATTTTTTTCTTAAAATCCTCTTAATCAAGGATTTCTGTGTATGTATGAGAGCATCTACGTTATAGATCAAATTGCATCCCCAATTTATGTGTTGGAATCCTAAGCCCTATACCTATAGGTGTAACACTGATTATTGATTGGAAATAGGAGTTTCTTTCTTATTTTAATGATATCATGCCCAAATAGAGGGGTTCTAAATCTAAACACTTCTGAGTTACAAAAGGAGCAGACTAGACATAGAGATATGTACATACATGAGGGAAGACAGCTACCTTGTGAAGATCATCTATAAGCCAAGGAACCAAGGAATGCCTAGGGCAACCAACAAGGAAGAAATCAACACAGCTAAGACCCTAATTTGCACTTTTACCCTCCAGAATTGTGAGCAAATAAATTTTTGTTCTTTAAAGCCACCTACTTGTGGTATTTCTATTACAGCAACACAGGAAACTAAGGCAATCTATAACTTCCATTTGATATTCAAAGGGATTGGTAACTCCTGAAGGGTTAAGGATTACTATAATGCATTCCCATAACTTTATGGTAATACAAGGAGCAGGAAAATTGAATCTCAGACTTAAAGCCCAGGTCTCCAGACTCCTCTGAGTGAGCATTTTAAATCTTAATGCAGTGCCTCTCTTTTTAGTGAACAAAAATTCTGAGTCAGAGGAAGAAATTACAAATGATAGATTATAGGACATAAACTGGCTGAATGTAGAAAGTATTTCTCAGGCCTCTCCTTGTGTCTCTGAACTCTGGGGATCCTGAGCCCAGCCCACAACATAGAGTAATCCAGGCTTCCCAATATGGCCTTGATCCAATGCAATTCCCTTTCTCCCAAGCCCCAACAATCTTTGCCTGAGGAGAGAACTAAAGTACATCTACCATCTACCAGACTTTGAATTTTCACTTACTCACAGTCCATCCAAGCCCCAACCTGCAGTATTCTTGAATTAAGGAATTGGCTAAGTGTGTAGAACAGTGGAAGAAAGGAAAAAGGGAAGAGAGAGAATATCTTAGCCAAATAGAGTCTAGATGCAAAGGGATGGGGCCAGACTAGACTGTGGACACATCTTAAAAGATGAGGATGTATAGACAAATGTCAGGTCCAGAACTTAAGCACAGAAAACTGTATGCCTGAACAAGGAACAGAAAAACTGGCTTAACATCCAACCTGCGAGAAAGACTTAGGGCTATTTACTGATGGTAAAATATATCTGAATCAACAAAGAAAGAAGGCTGTACATAAAGCTAATGTAATCTGAGGCTGAATTAATGGAAATATCAAGTCTGGAACAAGAAAGGTGATAAGTCTCACTCTATACTTCCCTGATCAGACTGTATCTGTAGTGATGTGTTCCATTCCACCCATGTGCTTCTAGAAAACCAGTGACAAACTGAAGGGCATCTAGGGAAAGGTGGACAGGGTGGCGAAAGGTGCTAATCATTGAAGGAAATGTGGATGAATAGCTAGAAGAAGCAATCTACTTCCAAAAAACCAGGCATGAAAACCCTATGGAGCCCCGTAACTTTGACACACAGGGGGTCGCCATGAGTAGGAATTGATGCAACTAGTCACCATCATGGGCATCAGCCAGAAGAAGAGAAGCACTTTCTTAATATACATGAAGGGCTGCTATGGGATCAGGTAAGCTTGGTGTGGCCCCAGGGGTCAAAACTAATGGATAGAAGCTATGAGGTAGCAGAATTCAGTTCACCGCCAAAGACAGCTTATCCAAAATCAGAATGGACAAGCTCCGAGAAGTGACAGTGGGCTCCCAGTGCTGGAAGTGTTGAAGCAGAGGCTGAGTAACCACTAAGGAGATCATAGAAAAGATCCCTAAGTCTGGTAGGGTATTGAACTAGTTGACAGCTGATGTCTTGTCCATCCTTAAGATTTTAGGATTCTAAGACTGAGTGCCCGAGCATGGAGCTACATCCATCTACCAGACCAATTGTGTCTGTGCTCGCCCGGGTCTGGAGTGTTTGCACAATCCTCTGTGTGTGTGTGATTTACTCTGTCGACCAATGTACAAAACGTAACATTCTAATTGCTCTTAATGTCATGCTACCACATTTAAAATTAATTTTTACTGTACACTCCTTTGCCCAGCTAATTTTACAATGGTGTTTTAGCTTGAGCATCAGAACTAAATTAAGTGCCCATAACCTGACAAGTCCAGGGCACTATGTATTGAGAGTCTCAATGTATGAAATGAGGGTGGGGATGAGGCACCCACTGAGGACCCACTTCTAGCTGACTTTCTCTGAGTCTACAAATCTCCAGTTGGGGAGGAGTGTCAAGCCAGCCTGAGGAAGGTCCAAGCCAAGGGAGTGCACACAAAGGGCTGGGAAGAGGAGGGAAGAGATAATTCCCTGATGGGAGCAAAGCCATTGTTGTCTCAACTGGCCCACACTCAGTTCAACAAACATTGCAAGCATTTGTGGATTTTTCTTTTTATAAATCCTCATGTCTCCAGAGCCCACCCAGCACTACAGGCAGTGGTTTCCTGTTTTCCACTGCTCATTACTGCCACAATTGGCACAAACTGCTCCAAACGACTTTCAGCAAGCCCACCTCAAACCCAGTCATAGGACAGAAAGGGGCTATAGAAGTCAGGGTGGATTTTCAGCAAGTACTGCAGGCATGTGTGGCAGCCTAGTCT